GTGAGATGAACGGAGAGGTGTGGCTCACAGCAAACAAATTGATCAGAGCAAGTTAAAGATAAAAGTCAAGGGCATCCAGGATTAAGGAGAAAAACAAAGACAAGAAATAAAATGAGAACTCAATTGCAAAATATGTTTTAAACTGAATCTAAGAGTGAAGGAAAAGCACGCTATCTGAGACCTGAAATAAAAATAAACAATGTCAAGACTAGGCAATTTTTCAGTCACTCAAAATAAAATGAGAAATTTGAATTAATTTTCCATAGCATCCCTTCTTAGATGAGGCAAAAAATAAAGCTTTGCAAGAATTTGTAGAGAGACTATTTGTGGTAGTTGCAAAGACAGATTGCATATCACCAATCTTACAATTATTTTGTTTAATTGCTTGGCTGTCTTCATTTCTGTGTAAGTCACATCTGTGGTTTCAGATTTGGACTTTTTCCAAGAGTTTTATAAAAATGGCTGTGAGTAGATATTTTTTACATGTTACAATTTTAATGAAAACGTTTCCTGTTTTATATTACATATGCCATAGTATGGCCTCGTAGTAATACTACAAAATAGGCAGCTCTGAATGTAAAATGTAAACAAGTGACATCTTTACTTCACAGTGTTCAAAACTAAATATGTGTTTAAGAAAATGTGAAAATGGGACAATTCAGTATATGGTTAATTTGCAAGTGCAGCTGTCTACAAACAGAAATGTTTCAGTAGGTTCAGAGTGTGCCTATCACAAACATATTTCCGAAACTTCTGTGGTTGGCAAAATCTCTGCCTTTTATTAAATATTAGAGTAAAATAGTAGTTACTCCATGAAGCATGTAAGCCTCCTTTTCTAGAGCACTTGGCATCAGCTCTAGAGGAATCTGGGGACTGAACTGAACTGGATCGGTTATTCAGTAGAGGATAGAGCACACTCAAGGTCAACTTTGCAAACTGCCATCTCCCCCTTTCCCACACTGATGTCAATTAATTGTATGTAAATCTTAGAAAATGAGATTATGGGCTTCCATAACATCTCAAATGGTTTCAGAGGGTATCAGAGGCTGCTGTGCAAATAAAATAGTCAAACTGGATGGTCCTCCTTGTGCTGAAATTCCATCTAAAAAAGGCAAAGTGAGGTGGAATCAGTTTAAACCTCGAGCACTAATCTCAAAACGTTTTCTTAAATTATTCATACCAATCTATAGTCTTTCTTTTAATAACTGCTCATTAGATAACATCTCATTGTTTCTAAAAACTTATAATCAAAGAAGAAAATATTGCTGCTTGTATTCTCTCTTCATAAAACAGCCTTTGGCATTAATTTAGATCAGATTAATGTTTTCTTAGGATGTTCTTAGCATCTTCACAGACTTGACAACACATCAGGTTGTATTAATATTCCACCTGGAAGCAAACACTTCCTTTCTGCGCAGTGCAATTTGCTGAAACCTTTTGGCTTTTCTCTTTCTTACCAAAAGACAGTAAATCATTGTGGTTGATACCTGGGCCAAGAAGAAACAGTTTTCAGAGTTTCAGTCTCTCTTTTAATTTCTTTAGCTTAAGAATCCATTTTTGTTTAGAAATAGGTGTTAAGGCAAAAAGAAAAAAAAAAAAAAAAAAAAAAAAAAGATTGTTTCCTTAAAGGAACCGTGCAAGGACAAGCAAAACATCATCCAACATTGTAGGGTCTTGGAAGATAATTCTATTTTGCCCATGAGAAAATGTTAAGTGTCTCCCCCTGAGATATTACTCTGAATAAAAACATTTCCTGTGGGAACTGCTAATAGTGGTTAGCAGAAGGAAATTCTGTTGATTTTTCCTATTTTAGTTTGATCTGGATTGAAGATTATTAGGAGCTAGAGCAAGAAACAAATCTAATTAATGTGTATCTGTGTAGTCAGTTTTAGCTGTAATACACTGAGGGATCCATAAAAAGATAAAAGACCAATGGTATTTAGCCAGCAGGTTAAATTTTATGATATAGGTACCAGGTTTTCTTGAGGCAGGGGAATAACCAAAAAAAAAAGGCTCTTTTGTTTGATTCCCCTTCAAAATACTTAGACATCAGAAATTTTTGTGGTATTTGAGGTATTTTGAATATTCAGGTTAAAAAGGATTCAGGGATCCAGAACATTTCAAAATGCTACCATGAAAAACCTTAAGATCGTAGAAATCTAGATACTTCACAATGTGTTGGAAAGTTGAGGTTTTATAGCATATTTGCATTTCCAGTATCTATAAGCTTAGGAGATGAAGCTGGATTTGTTTTAGTTGCACATATGAGTATTAAATGGGATAACAGACTTGTTTTATCCCCATCATCATGCATCTGGATTTGATTGTATCAGAGAATTTTGCATGAGAAGGGAGAAAAATACATGAAGGAATGCATTTCTGAGCTTGAGTTTTTATAGATGAAACCGAGTATTGAAGCAGATTATAAATTATTTTAATGTACAGGATTTCTTTCTGCAGAAGAATAAGGGTGGAGATCATCTGAAATGACAAGTTTCTATTTCTCTTGGTTTTATTTAAACAATTAGAATTTATGGTTGAAAAAATATTTAGTCAATCACAAGTAGCAACGCCAATTGGTACAACCTTATTATAATAAATAATGTTCTGCAGGCCTTTGAGACCTACATTGATTCTGAATGCAAAAGAACTATGGGATTAAATGCATTTTCTAAACTGAATTAAAATGACTCATTTTATCCTACATATTCCTTTCTGAAATAAAGCTTTGGATTAGAGCTGGATTCAAAGAGAAGGGAGTCCAGATTATGTGAGTGAAGGGATTGTTTGAACATGTGAGCATATGTGTCATACAGCTCTAGAAAGGCATTGCAGTGAGGTCACAAAAGGATCATTACTGAACTTACTTCGTGTTGAATTTACATCACTTCGTGTTGCAACCATGATATTTCCTTTCTGAAGTTTCATATCAAATGCTGTGTTTATTTTTTTAAGCTTAACTCAAAATCAATATTAATTTAATAATTGTATGTGTTTAATGGTATTTACTGAACAACCCAAGCTCTTGAAAAGGGAAAGCTTGTTTTCTAACTCTGTTGTAACCGAATATATCAATGAATATGTTCTCATGCACATTTATTTAAAACTCATTCTCACTAATGCATGAAATAAAATTTAAAAGCAAAACAAAGTTAGATCAGATGCTAATGTTGAATTTTAAACCTATTTGAATTTTCTAATGTCCTTCAGTTTTTCATAGATTTTAAAAGGTATGATTTTTATACATATATTAATCTTGCTGAATATATCTGCCTAATAATAATAATAAAATTAAATTAAACCTGATTTTTTAAAACAGTCTTTAAAGATGTGGTGGGCAATAGTTGTCATTTCTGGCTTTCTTGAAGGTCTATTACAAGAAATTCATTTTTAACTGTCATGTCTTTTTCATTGTCCCATTTCCTTTTTACCTTAGTCTTGCTGGCCTGTTCTTATGAGATGTTCTATTTCTGAGAAATTTCAATTCACTACACTTTTCCCTTCTACAGCCAGACCTTTATTACCAGTCATATTCCTTGCAGTTTGAAAATCTCTGCTGCTGACCAGGTGAAGCATCCTGCTGTTATGCATATATATATATATATATATATATATGTAGTCAAGGAAATATACATATATATGCATATTTCTTCAAGGTGTCTTTATATTGGAAAAAAGATTCCAGCATCCGCTTCAAAATTCAAATTAATATAAAGTTTATTTGTGGGATTTCAAAAGAAGCATTACAAATTTTGCAGAGCAGTTGTGATTCTTGGACTACTATCTATTCCAAACATGTATCGGAGCACTGGCATGCAGGATCTGTTCATAGTAGTATACCACAGTAAACTGGGGGCTTACTCTGTTTTTCTAGTTTTCACAGTATTATTATTATTTTTAAAAGGACACTCTTTTTATGCCTATCTGTTGAAACATTATTATAAAATAAAACATGAAGCAAACAGAATGAGTCACAAAGTGACTTGTAGCTGAAGAAAACAAAAGCAGGATGATGGCATTTGTTTCTTATCACTCCTAACATGATCAAACCATATTGTGCCCTTCTACTAAAGGTTAGACCAACCCTTCTGATCTGTACCTGGCTTTTTTTGTATATCTAGAGAATATGAACACAGATTTTGACTCTTATTCCTATCTGTATTGTGCACTCTGTGAGTGATAAATGCTTTCCTTCAAAATACACTTTATTGAATATTGCAATTGTCCATTAATGTGAAACAACTGAACTACATGGAATTTATACTTTGGGTAATCATTTCTGCTTTCATATTAGCTTCTAAGCTTCTGTTTTCCTCTGGCAACTGGCCCAAGTCTTTGGTAACTGGACTTAAGTCCTCACTTATATTTAATTAACAGTTTTTCATCTTTTTAGTTGTTACTTTCCTTTTTACTATCTTCTTACTCTTTTTTGAGTGTTTTTTTTTTTTAATCTAATTCTATTGCATCCTTTCACCATTAATTTCTTCTAATTTCTTCAATTCTTTTTTTCTTTTTACCAGTTTTCAAGTCCTAACACGTATCTTGTACTACTGCAAGAGAGTTCATCAAAATGCTGCTATTTGTATGCTTATGTGACTGACATATTCTACATATTCTGCTATATTCTTTTGCCATCAGATTTAGAGTCTGTTCAAAATGTTTTAACTCATGTCACTGAGTTCATCCAAGGTCTCATGTCTTGGACAAATTATACATGCCTTTTAACCAATCTGGATAAGAAAATACTCTGAAAATTAAGGAGAGATGTTATTCATAGGATTTAACTTCTTTGACCTTCCAGAACCTCAAGCAATTGGATGTATAACTATTCTCCACCTTACTAAAGATAAATCTCTTTCTTTTCAAATATATTATGTATGCACGCATGTGCTTATTTATTTATAGCAAAATAAAGTCATAAACAAACAAAAAATCTAGGATGTCTTAACCATTGCATTGACTTTTCAGATTGTTTTTAAGCTGTTTTTTAAACTTTAAAGGCAACACTGATAGTGAACGGTTCCAAATGGTAAAACAGAAAATCCCCTTCAAATATAACCGGCCTGTAGAGGAGTGGCTGCAGGAAAAAGGTAATAGTCATTAAAACTTTCATTTTAAACCCATTTGATTCTAAACCCTCATTTTTAAAGCCTGCAAATAAATGTTTCTTAAATGATAATCGCCTGCTGCATAAATGACTGTTTTAATTTTCATTATAATTTGTGTCAGCTTCCACCTGCCATATGTTGATAAATCATGCTATAATACATTGCTATTAAAATGCAGTTAAAGGGACAAAATTCTGAGCCTGCTATCACAGTAATGACAAAGAAGCAAAAATTCAGGAGACATTTTCTAACAAAATAAAATGAAGAAAGGATAAGAGCAACAACATGTATTATGGCAATTTCACCACTGCATGATCTTCCTGTTTTGATTTGTTTTTAAACTACATTCATATCTTTATTATCAAAGTTTTCTTAAAAAAAAAAAAAAAAAAAAAAAAATCAAACCTTGTTAAATCACTTCCTGTAAGTTTCTTTTTTTCCCATTAGTCTGACCAGCCACTGTGGCTATGTGTTTTCTAATTGTTTTCAAATAACTAAACAATTTTAAAAAATGTTGTAAAGAAAACATTTTTTAACATTTTCTTTTAAACTACAACGAGGGAGACAGAGAAAGATGTTTGTTCTGTCACTTTTATTCTCTATGTGGAGTACAATTTCAACACTCAAATAATACATTTTATGTTTGTACTCAAATTCTTCCCTAGCATAGTCTAAGGTACTGCTATTATCTTTTGTGAGCTTCTCTGGAGTAATTGGCCTCAACTCAACAAAAGTTTTCCAATATGCAGAAGTCCAATTGGCTTAAGTGAGAATTCTACATAAGCTTCAGTGATCAGCTGAAATGGGACTTGTGTCAGAACTGTAATGTTCTTTTATAAAGAGTTTGGAGAAAGACTAAATCTTGGATGTAGAACTCATTCCAAAGCTTGTTGAAGATAGCATAATAACTCTCAATGATTTCAGCAGGTCTCTTGGTAATGCTGGTTCTTTTCCCTCTAAACTAAATGTGTTACCTAAATTTAAAAATCACTAGAGGCAGTTTCTTTCTTTCAAGCCTTGGAAAACAGAACACAATCTTCTCTGATTTCCTTTAAAGAAAGTACTGCTGATAAAAGTGGGTGACCTCTGAACTCAAATCTTGCATTTTCTGTGTTGACTTAGTATATGGGTGTTACCAAATTTTCCAAGAAAAAAAGTCAAATTTTGTGCACTGGGAAATATATATTCTATGTTTTGTTTTTAACTTCTATCCACATCTGAATTAGCAAATTGATTTAGCCAGCAGGGATCAAGTTAAGGCCATAAAAAATATGGCTAATTGCAGTCAAAATATTTTTTTGTGAAGAATCTCATCCTTCAAAGTGCTGTGCACACAGTTCCTGTTGATTTCAATGACAGCTGGTAGTGTTGCCTACTTTCCAGATTTGGTCTACAACTCTGATGTGCTTATAACTAAAGCTAAGAAAATTGTATAACTAAAGCAGAAATATGTTTTGATTATCATGGTTTCATGGAACTATTTGTTTCTGCTGGCTAGTAAGAAAATATTTAGATAAAGGTATACAGAAAATGCTTATTGAGTCTCACTGGGCTACTCTGTTAATTTACAAGATCAAACTAAATTAAATAAATAAAGCTTAACAATAAACAGTGGATAATCTTGGTAAGTTTGAATTGCTAAAGTCCCTTTAACCTAAAGACAGTGATTGCCTCAACTTTATTAAAACAGATGCATGTCGAATTCTTTGATGCTATTCATGTGCTTGAGAACCCATTTTTTTCTTCCATATCTTTTTTTTTTTCCTTTTTGGTTTTCTACAAGTTTTTTCTTTGATTTATTTTGTGTCACTGCTTCTCTAAGTTTGAGCTTATAAGCATGCCAAGGTACTTTCCCTTTGTAAGCCATCCTAAAGATTTGAACTGAAGTCTACCTTTTGTGAATATTGATGCTTTGTTAAAAGACAATCACACATGCAGTGGGATCTGAAAGACAATATTTGAGAATTCAGACACTCTTGAAGCAAGGAATGATTTTAGGCTAGATGCATATAGGTGTGATTTCCCCAGACTGAAAGGAAATTCAATCTTCACATTTTGTATTAGGAAAATGGCATCATGCAGTGCAACACCTGTGATAATACATCTTCTTTCTTTCATTCCAGTATAGATAGACCTTTTCAGCAAGTTATGTAGCACCTAAAAAATCAGGATGAAGAATTTACCTAGTTGTTCACCAGTCTGCTCATCCATCTGGTCATCCATCCAACACTTACCGAATCATGGATACCTTCTGTATAAAGTTGATGAGTGAAGGCATAGCTCACTATCAAAATTGAATAAGATGAACTGATGAGTGGAGGAATAGACAGATTCATAAATGAATTAACATACAGAAAAGCTGTCTGCCATTGTTAGTTCTTGGTTTGAGTGGGGTAAGATTAAACACATTCTAACTGAGTTTTTTAATGCCATGGATTTGGTATTATTTTGGTACCACTATTATATAATTCATAATAATGAAATGTATATAATGCAGCATCTTTCTGAAGTGGCATCATTAATGTTAAAGTTTTTTTTTTAATTTTATAAATTGTTTACAGTATTCAGAGAGTACACACCTACAATCTTGAATTAGACAAGTCATAAGTAAAACATTAAGCACTATTAACTTCACTGAGATTGTGAGTTTAAAAAAAAAATCTAAATTGTTCAATTTCAGATATCATAAAACCAGGTTATTTTATGCATAGAATACCTGGTGCTTGCTAAGGTTTGGATGCAACCTGTTCTGCAGTATGAGGAGCTGATAAAGTCACAAATGCATCTCAACAAAAGGTCTGATTCTGGAAGTTCTTAATTCTGTAAATTCCTCTTACATGAGAGTGCTCATTGAAGTGAACAACTGCACTTTTGGAGCAAGAACTGTTGATGTGAATTTGGGTTTGCAAAATCAGGCCTGAAATCTCTTCTAGCATTACAGAAAGCTTATATTTCACTAAGATTTCTCTGTGAAATTTCTTATTGGTGTTCAGTTTTCCAAATGCAGAAGTCAATGAGAGAGCAAACAAATGAGAACTTGAACTACTCAGAATGTTTACAGAACACCTCAGAAACACAAAATACACTTGTCACTTTACTATGGCATTAAGCAATGGGAAGATTTTTTTCTGGAAAATATAGACTAATAAGCTCACAACCCTTACACATTTAAAAGAATTTATAAATACAAATCCTCAATCAAGTTCAGCAGCCCAGTAAGTTTCACTTATGGTGAGGATCAAGGGCTACCATATAATCAAAAAAATGATTAGAAGAGGTCGGTGGTGGCAGAATTATGTGTACGTTTTCTCAACGATATTCTCTCATTCCATACGTATTTCCCTGTTGTCTTTATTCATGCATGTGTACACCATCATAGAGTGAAGAGCAAAGAATGATATATTATAAATAACACAATCAAGTGATTGTTCTTTTAGCAAACAGAGTTCTAGTACCAGTGTTGTCTGCGGTGTTTACCATATGATGCAGTGCATGAATTATCCTGAAATGGCAGTCCACTTACTGAACAAGGAAACTCTAAAATTCACAATCAAAATTTTGTTTTTTACTGGAGTGGGGCCGTTTCCCTGGTATAAGGTGTCAACATTAGAAGATGCAGAAAAAAGCCTGGAAATAAAGAAGTGATCCTACCCCTCCCCCCTTAATGTATTAATTTCTCATTTTGGTAAAAAAAAAAAAAAAAAAGATATGACAGACATATCTAAAGATTTACAATGGGCTTGGGTTAGAGTGAATAGAGTGAATGACATCCTTTGTAGATCCATAATCCTCCAGTAAAGTGGGAGGAACCAGAACCCCTTTTCTTTCCTGGTTTAGGAAGCTTTCCTCCTGGAGTAGTAAAAAATGATTCTTCCTCACCATTGCCCACCCCTTTTCCCTTTGGTAAAAGATGATAGAAAGTGATAGTTTTGGTTCAAGGAGAAAAAATGAATTGAACTGGGAAGTTTTTAAAGGTCAGCCCTTTCCTTTCATTTCCAGGAGTATAATTTCAAGATTAGTAAAAGAAGATGGGTGATTATATTCCCTGCTATTTATTCGTCTCACCTCCATTTTTTTGCACTGTATCACAAGTGAAGTGGGAAGGATGGAACAGTACAGATAAAGTGTCTGGGTGTGTAGGGACAGAAAAAATGGAAGGAAATGTAGTTCTAAGGAAAGGGAATATGTGAGGAGAACAGAAGATGGTGAAGTAAGGACCTGACAGCATATCCATTAGAAAATGGATAACAACAGGGCAGAGCTACTAGGAAGAAAATCAGTCTCTGAGGCTGTAGTATATGACAAGTTTGGCCTTCTACAGTGTAAAGTACCACTTCCTCAGATTTGAGGAGAGTTGGACAGAAAAAGCTGTACATTTTTACTGGATCCTATTCTCCTCATAGAGAAGCAGAAAGACTGAGGGGAAAAAAAAAAAACTGCTCTGATTTTACATTCTGGGAATTTGTGGCTCCAGTGCACATTTATTGCTTTAACATACATAAAGATCCTCTGGTAAGTTTAAAACATCCTAAGATGCAAAATGCTGTGTCAAGTGTTTAAATGTTTTCCAGGGGAAGGGCACCCTCCTTTTTTATTTCTCATTTTTTCATCAGTGCGGTTCCTCCACCCTGATCAAGTCCTAGTGTTTCATTTACAAATCTGTGGGCGAGGAGCACAAGGGATGTGCAACTCACCTTCACATGTGTCCATATGTTGCACCTCTCCATACACTTTTGCTCAGTTAGCTAGGGCCCTCTCTGGGGACAGGAACTCCTTTCAGATACATTTCTTCTCTTGTCCCCATTCTCTTCCCCATGGTCCATCCTGTCACCATAAGATGATGCAACACCGCATCACCACTTGACTTCGAGACCTGCCACGACGACCACCAAAATTGGTGAGCTCCCCCTTGTATTTTGATCTGCTTTAACCACTGTCTGTGAATAAATGAGCAGTGGGTTATACTTTGTGCTTTGCTACATGGTGGCTTTTTGCACTTCTAGTCAGGGTGGACTAGAGAGGAAGTGGTGAGTGAGAACTGGGGAGCGGGAATGGGAAGGGGACACGTGGTACAAATTTCATAAAAGCAGGAGAACACAAATATTTGAATGGTGATTGTCTTGATGATGTTTTGGCAATCCTTCAAAGCACTGCCTATAATTCAATAGATTCCAGCTGGTGTGGTCCTAATATTCTGAGGAATAGTGAAATTATAGGCACTACCTTTGCACTGCATGAAGCAATTTATTTCTTAGCATAATCAGTCTAGTCCAGCCTGGGACATAAGCAATATTTATAGAGCAGACAAGGCTAAATGTGATTTAAGTGGCCTGCAAAAATAGAATTGACAATTGTTATAAGGATTTATTTTTTTTTAAATGTATTTCTTATTACATATTATATCAGTCCATTCCTAATACTCAAGGTGTGACCTTGAATAAAGTATTTAACTTGCCTACTCTTGAATCTAAACATCTGTAAGTGGGATTTACATATAAGGCTTTCTGGGATTTAGTTGTTATCTTTATGTTTCAAGAACTTTGCTCTTCCAGAGACATCATGATGTTAGTGTTTGCTTTTTCCTGGTTTTAGTTTTGTGAGTCTTCACAACAAAAAAATTTTCAGGTGGAAAATCATGAATAAGCCTATCTTAAGTTTCATATACAATCCCTGTATAGATGGTGGTTAACACAGTTGATCACCAATTTTTCTGATGTTCTCTCCTCAAGTCACCCCTCAACACCTTTACAATTTTAAAAGTGGTTTTATGAGACAGTTCCACCCTTTGACCAGTCAGAAGGGAAGGTTTTTTAATGGGTTAAAGCTTGACAGGTACTGTGATTTGAATTGATAGTGGGGAAAAAAGGCCACATATTGAAGTCTTTTTAGTAATTAAAGGTTGGTCCAACTCTAAAGGAGTGGGTTCAAGTTTCTGACTGAGTCAAAGCTCCTCTGGATTTTTGATGCACAAGTGGCTATGGATGGATGAGGGTTCAGGTGTTCTTGCTTTAAAGATAATCTCTATTATTAATGAATCATAGGCAATACATTTTCATATTCTATTTCTACCCTACAGTCTTCATAAACACTACTGAGAATGAATCTACTTCTTTGTTGTCTATTATTTCTGGCCATGATTCAATGTAAGGTACAAAGTAAAGGAAATGTCTAGCAATAATGTTGTTCCACCCCCCTTCACTAGGACGACAGTTAACGATCTTCAACACCCAGGCGCAAATAGCCATAGGAGGAAAAGACAGAGGGCGTCTCTTCCAAGGCCAACTCTCCGGTCTCTATTACAATGGCTTGAAAGTGTTGAACATGGCAGCAGAGAACAACCCTAACATTAAAATCAATGGAAGTGTCCGTCTTGTCGGGGAGGTCCCTTCCATCTTGGGAACAACACCCACAACCTCTGTGCCACCAGAAATGTCTACTACTGTCATGGAAACCACAACTACAATGGCCACCACTACAACCCGAAAAAATCGTTCACCACCTAGCATCCAGGTGAGTCAATTGGTCTTGTGTGTTTCCTTGGGTTCTTAATTAGTCTCATTTCTCTGCTCACTTGTAAGTTCACTAGAACTGTTATCTGAATCACGTTCCATATAACTCTCAATTTTAATGTTTTTGTGAAGATAAGTCAACACACCATGTGCTGTCTTCTTGTGTTGGTGAACAAACTCAATGAATTACACCTATTTATAATAATGTAATAATAACAGATTTTGGTCCTGTTCAACTGCAACCACATTTAGGTAAGTAAAATTGCTCCAAAGGAAATTAGAACAAGATTTTGAAAGTTTTTTCAGTTGGATATACTGTGAAATGTATTGCTAGAGAGTAACAAAGCCTTACAGGGGGGTGTGCATAGGTTATTTATCACTATGATACTATATACTGCTGCAACACTGATGTTCATAATGGAGAGAAAAGCAATGGAGCATTACATCTTGGTTGAGCCATTTTTCATTTTCCTTTTACAGCCTTCCCTTAGAAAATTTTGAGAAAACACCATCTAGATCCCTTTCTTGCAAAATGAAGTTGCTCCAATATAGAGCAATTTCAGCATCTTTGGTAAAACACATTCCTATGATAAACAGATCTCAAATATTCTGGCTTGGTTGTATAAACGTAGTGTGTTCACACCTAAAAATGCAGTGGTTTTGAACTACTTATTTGGTTATAGCCAGACAGTGGTATTGATTAGAAATAAAAACCTTATATTTGCTCTTCTTGTGTGTGTAGGTTAAAGAATAATGTAAATAACCAGTTGAGTAGTGGATTAGTATTTGAAAATCATTTATTTGAGTAGTATACTATCATGTTATCAACTGGGATGAAGTACATGTTTTAAAATTTTTATCTACATAAGATCCTCATCAAGTAGAAGTAATGTGCTTTTGTTGACACTAGTGTACACTGACTAAGACACTACGTTGTGATTATTGATCACAGAGTGCCTTCATTAAGCCCCTAGAGAAGGGTATATTTTTGTCTGGTTAGAGAAAAAATGTAAATGATTCCATCTCCTTCTCTGAAACGATTTCTGCTGCTTGAAATGGAAGAACCTTATGAAATTAAGTACTTTGAAATCTGGAATCATGAAGTAACACACTTCTACTGTTTCAGAAGATTTTATGAGTTACTGGTTGTGTTTGTGTATATATGGCTGTTCTCTTTATTTTTTAATCTAGTACTGGTCACTGAAAATACAATATCGTCCTCTTAACTATATTAGGAGGTCAGGCCGCACCCAGAGTGCTGTGTTCAGTTCTGGGTTTCCAAGCATAAAAGAGATAAGGAACTACTAGAGAGGGTCTAGAAAAGGGCCTCTGGGGTGGCTGATACATCTATCCTATGAGGAGAATTTCAGAGAGCTGGAACCATTCAACCTGGAGAAAAGAAGGCTCAGGGGATCTTATCAGTGTGAACAAACACAGTAAGGGAGGATATAAAGAAGACAGAGACAGTCTCTTTCCAGTAACGCCTGGTGATAGGACAAGAGGCAACCAGCACAAACTCATACACTGTAGGTTCTGTCTGAGCATCATTTTTTCACTGTGAGGGTGGGCAAGAACTTTTGAGTCTCCATCCTTGAAAAGGAGATCTTTAAAAGCCACCAAGTCTGCTCTGGGTGTCCCTGCTTGAGCAGGGATTGGACCAGATGGAAAGAGAGGTCCTTTCCAACCTCAACCATTCTGCAGTTCTGTGAGTTATTTTTGCTGCAGCAGAAAAATGAATTTCAAGCCAAGTTTTAGTGTTGCCCCAACAACTTTGGCACTACATCCAGTTGGTAGCAAGACAGAGACTGATTGAATTATGAGACTCAAACACTCAGTAATCATTTTTAAAACTTGCAGCCAAATAAAGAGAAATTACTCTAGGTTTCTTCCCTGTTTGTCATAAACTGTGAAAGAATTAGTATTCCTTCTCCTCAAAGGCTTACTCTAATTTTAGAGAAAATTTTTGTATGATTACATCTCCAGAAGAATGCAGTGCTGACCAGATCCTGCTCTTGTTACTGTAGTTTATTGGAAATTTTCTATGATTTATAAAGGTAACAGAATTGTGTTTAGCTATAGGAATGTAACAGAGAGTAGTACTGGACTTTAGTGGTCTGAGTGAAGCTGGAAATCACCCTGCAATATTTGATGAGGAAATCTTCCAGAAAGCTTCCTGCCTGAGCTACGTGGTAGTTCCGTGGGCCTGTAGAGACCACTGTATGCCGAAAGTGCATCAAAAAGATTTAATAAAGTGTCAAAGTGCTTCTAAAAACATGGTTAGAGCAATGATTTCCTGGATACACATGCGCCACAACAAATGGTCTCATCTTAGATGATATTAAAGCAATAACTCTTTGACACTTCATGCTGCCCACTGAAAGCAAGATAAAAGTCAATATGTATCTCCATTACAACTTTCTGCATTTCAATACTGGGGCATTTTATTGCTGCCACAGCACAAATGGCTCTACTTTCTTCCTTACTTTTGGTAGAATTTAATTCTGTCAGCTTGCAATGCATTATTTCTGCAGTAAAAGTGAGAAGAAATTGTCATTTTCTTTTTGGGCAGTATCTCCAGCTGTGGTTTGAGATGCCTAATGGTTATTTTATGCTACTGTTAGACATCACCATTGTCAGGCCTGCTTACAACTTTAGATCTAAGTGGTAGAAAAATCAAATAGAATGAGTTGGTTCTTTGGGGAATGTTAAATATAGCCACCTGGGGCTATGTGCAGTTAGTTATTACCCTACTCCAGCTTCTCTTCCCTATTTTCCTCAGAAGTAAACATTTTTGCTTTACTTTCAAGGCCTTTCTCTTTAGCTCCTTCCCTTCCCATGCTTATCAGCATTATTATTTTGGGGGGGGGGGGCTCACTTGTTAAATTTGATCATAAGAATCTTTCTGCTTCCAGTTTACCATTTGCAAGGCAGGACTATGTTATACTTCCAGCATCACTGAAACCTTCCTTTAACCATGGATGAAAAAGTTTTCAGTGGTTATGTTGATGATGTTCTGGGGTAGCTGTTTATCAAGCTGATTAATATTGTCACATTTTTCATCCCTTAATTCTCTTTACTTTTATTCAATTTTCCTGTATTTATTTGTAATATAATGTTTTGTACTTAAACTGAAAACTCTGTGCGTTCAAAATGAACTTTTTACTCTGCATGAGTACACTACTTAGCATGGAAGCATTCTGATTCATTGCAGAAATACCAACTAAGATACAAAGAAAACTATCTAACACCTAATGTCAAAAATCAGGTCAAATAATTATTATTACTGTATTAGAACAGTCTGTGCTATTTGAATTGCTCGTTTTCATATGTAAGAAGTTAAAACTTCTCCTTTTTGAAATGTGTATAAAGCTTGTGCAAAATTCAAGATCCGTCATCCCAAAGTAATACAAAATCCAAAACAATTTTAGTTGGATTTAGATTTACGTACACTTGCTGGTAAATACAAAACAGCAAAACTGCAAAGACTTCTTCTGTTTGTAGTGTGCATCAGAATATCTCCTGCAATTTGTTAACACTGCAAGTAGCATTTTAGACCACAGTTTTACTTAATGAAAATGGGAAAATGAAATGCTTTAAAAATACACTGTATATACACAGACCAGTGACATACTATACAATTTGCTAAGCTCCTTGATGTGGGATATAGTCTTAAACAAACATCCAAAGCAAAGAAAAATGTTACTAGAAATATCATGTGGCAATAGCGTTAATATTTAAAATTTCTATAACTTAATTATATTTCAAAATGTATACTGTTTCTGCAAGGAAATGAAACTCAGTTTAGTGGAAGACAAGAAGAATTTGTGTGAGAAATGGGTGAGTTGTATAACTTCATGGTAGTAAAATTGCTGATAGGAATGTGTCTGTGATTCAAATATCCTTCAGAGTGGTCCTGAAGGAAAATAAAAAGAGATCTGCTTCAGGTAAGCTTCTGGAGGTTCTAGGGCTCACTGACCTGGGACAGGCTCCTAATATGTCTGCTCCATGGGGTCATAAGACCAAAACCATGGAAAAATTTCTGTGGAAAAGAAATCAGTATCCTTCTGGGAGGTCAGATGGATTATTGTCCAGTGATGTGGTAGATGTCCTGCCTCTGGAGACTTTCAAGGAGAGGCTGGATAAGTCCCCATGCAACCTGATCTGGCTGTGGATGTCCCTTTTCATTGCAGGGGAGCTGGACTAGATGGCTTTCAGAGGTCCCTTCCAACTCTGATTCTGTGATTCTATGATTATGCTGTCCGTGAGGAAGCAAAAAATACGTACTCTATTGAAGATCTGGTGCATGTCTTAATTTCTTGTGCCAAGATAAGGATAATGATGCTTGCCAAACTGTTCAATTATAGCTTGGGGTTTAAAAGAATAAATTATCTGTGGGTGTTTTCAGCTGTGATCTTAAAGTGACAACATGACAGTGTATGACATATAGTATGCAGAATGTTCTTTATAAAGAATAGATGCGGATTTCTACCCATTATCCATGTAGAGTGTCCAGCCCATTGGTATGTCTCTGAATAAGTTTCTCAACCTTTGATTTTAACCATTAGTCATTCCAGCCTGTTAAATTTATTTTAGGTGAAGGCTCCAATAATCTTGATTAATGTCTTTCCAGAATATGCAGGTCCAGGCTAAATCATTTCTTTCTGTATATCTCACAAAGGAAAATAGCACAGATTTGTCAGTCTAATTAGACATTTTCAGTCAACTAAGACAAATACAGTTGTGTCACACTGATCTTGCCAAGGTACTTTCTTTAATACTCATAGATAATAACTTGTGGGGAAATAGATCGGTCTTTAATTTATTTTTTGCTTCTTATATGTCACTAGTGACATTTTCATTCAAAGACTGTAAAGTTCTAATGAAAAAAAAACCTTTTTCTTAGTGTCTGCTTTAAAGATGGACTTCATTGGCCTGTTGGTACTGCTTGAGAATTAGGTGGTCTGGCCTTCATCCCTCCTTGTCTGCTTTTTCTTGAAATGC